CCAGACACTCCCAGCACCTCTGCCTTCCTACTTCTGCATGATAGGCCAATGCAGGGATGATGATCTTGCATCCTAAGAGGCCCTTAATTCTAAGAGGTCACTCTAAAGACACTGTATTTCTGTAATGAACTGCAATTTTATATTTTAAAAATTAAAATCCTGATCTCAAACGTTTTTATATATTGCTTTGCAAATAAATCTTCAAGATATCACTCCGTTTGCATACATGCAGGATATTTGTAGAAAATCTTGGAGTGGGGAAAATATTAATACCCTAACAAAAAGATTTCTGCGATGATACCTATGATCCTGCTCACCATAAGAGATTAATACAGGTAGACTAATACAGGTAGTCTTCGGGTAATGACAATTGGGACTGGAATTTCTGTCACTAAGTGATGTGGTCATAAAGCGTGATGTCATGTGACCATATCGCTTAGTGACGAAAATCTCGGCAATCCCAGATGACATCATATCCCCAGGACTGTGTGGATCATTAAGCAGGAAGAGGCGGGAGTCCCAGGAAGCAGGCTGGTGAGTGTGCAGGGGATGCTGCGGGCAGGTACTATGGAGTGCAGGCAGGCAAAAAAAGCAGCAGGAGCAACTTCCTGCCAGCTTCCCCATTGACTTTGCTTGTAAAAAGCTGGCAGGGAACATTGGAAATCTCAATCACATGACTGCGGCTTGCTGCAGAGTCAATGGCAAGCTGGGCACTGAGGACCTGGATTGCGATCATGCGACTGTGGGGACAGTTTGACGACCAGAACTCCAAGGAAGTCGTAAGTCCCCCTTGTTCAGCACTGTTGTAATTCTGAACAATTGCTGAACAAGTGGTCGTAACCTGAAGACTACCTGTACACATCAGAACCAAAGACCAGATTGGAAAAAAATGTTTGTCAGTGACTCTACTGGTCTTTCCCGTTACTTTTTAACAAACCTTTTAGCTGGAGATGCTAGGAACTGAACCTAGAAATGTCTGCATGCAAAGTATATATTCTACCACTACCAATGTTGCATCCAGAGACAGACAATGCAATCCTGTGCTGGATTGATTGGTAAAATTGTCCCCCATTGCGGGGAGATGGGCGGGGATAAGTCTACTTAATTAATTAATTAATTAATTAATATTTATATGCTGCCAACACTCCATAGACCCATGGTGACTTACAATTCCAGATGTGTCAGTGTCTTTGTCCAAACCAACCCTTAATTCTGCAGAAGGTGCTTGGGTAAACCAGTCACTCAATGATCAGGTGAAAGCAGTTACAGAAAAGTAAAATGAGAATAGAATACACAATACAGAGTTATTGAGTTTCTTTCCTTAATTTTTAATAAAGAGTGAAGAATTTAAAGCAGGCATCAGATTTTGGAATTATCAGAGGCAATTGGTGGACGCTCTCTATTGCTTTAGAAAGCAAGATGCCTATAGGATCAGTTAGCAACTATCAATTAAACCATATTGTGCCATAAAGAAGGAACACCCACTCTCTAGTATACATGTCTACAACAGAGGAAAGGAGGGCAAGTAATGAAACATGTCATGATACAAACCGTGTGACTCACATACTTGCATCTGATGTCAGGATACTATTATGAAAGGCTGGGGTTTGTGTTGGACATAGCAACCTGTTTCATCACTGCTGTTTGTAGCAGACAACTTTGCAGCCTTGCCCAAAAAACATTTTACTTCGACACTGATGAACTTGCAGGAATCATGAACCTCTTCAGCATTTTCTTACATCAAAAAATGTAGTTCTGAAACATACTCTAAGAACTTAAGGCTTTAATAAAATAAAAGACAATAACGCACCAACACTGGCAGTAAAGTAATTCTTATTAAAGATAATGGGATTTTGGAGATATGAAGACTGTTTCTTCAGTATATGTCTCATAGATGATACCCAAGGGGTTAAAGGTTCTGGGTGATATGGCACATGGGTTAATTACATTTCCTCTTGGATGCAGCATAAACCACGATCCAAGAAATGTTTCTATCCAATCTAGTAGTGTTCCATTTTCCAAACATATTCCTATGTGTAGTGATTCACGTGCCTTTACTTTTCCAAGAGCCCAGGACTTAGTCAGCATAGACTGCACTGGGGTGAGAGGGGCAGTTACACAGAGAACCATACCAAGATACTTCCATGCTCCCAATCATGGACAGCACCCAGAAAAAGCATGCCTTTGTAGATCTCAATCACCCAAGTTGTATTTTGGTACTGAAATAACTTCAGCTCAATTTTCATATTAAAGCAGCTACATCTTTAAATGCTTCCCATGCTGCTGCAGGCACAATTGCAACAGGTGGAAATATACATGAGAAGAGGCTAGTAAAACATGTATTTGCATGCAGAAGGTCCCCAATTCAATCTCCAGTGACACCCTATTATAAGGACTGGGAAGCGGGTGAAGTATACTTTTGGCTGAGAACTTGGAGAACTCCAGCCAGTCAGAATAGACAATATGGGACCACATCTCTCTAGCATCCTGTCACAATATATCAAGCACACATTGTTCTTTCTAGCTGACAAGAGACCGTGAGAGTTTCACACAGGTTTTCATAACTTTCTCATAGGAAAGAGGAGCTACTCTTTAACTGCAAAAGGAGAAAGATTAAAAAAAAGTCTTCTGGAAAGGAGAATTGCAAGTGCAATGCTGGTAAATAAAAATGGACTCTAAGTAGTGTTGGCTAAAACTCTTGAAATGATTGTGAGTGGGAAGGGGTCCAAAGACCCACTGAAGGAAGAGGACTGCTGCAGGACCCATCTATCCAACACATGGTTTTCATGGAAGCTGAAGATGACAGAGGGATACCATGTCCTACCAGCCAGACATTAAAGAGAGAATGCTAGCCAGTGTAATTAATCTCTTTACTTATCTTTATGTAGGAAGCAGGGATAGCATATAAACCAGTGCTTCTCAATCTCAGCAATTTTAAGCATGTTGGCTGGGGAATTCTGGAGTTGAAGTTCTCATATCTTAAAAGTTACTGAGATTGAGAAACACTGATGCAGATGTAACAGTGCTCATATTTAGCAAACACCGTAGATACACAGGTAACAAGGTAAACATTACCAGAAGTAGAAAGCTTTTGGTAACATTTAGTAAAAGTGTTTGGCAACTATATAAATCTGTTGATATTGCTTTGCTGTATAGTTTTATTGCAGCTTCCTGACTATTTATCAATAAGAAAGGTGGGAGAGTGGGGGAAAACAATTTAGTTTGTTGGGCTAAGCCGCTGTAATAAAACACTAAAACCGAAACTTGCTTTCCTGTGTTAATTAAAAAAAAAAAGAGAAGATTCACAAAAAGTATCTTGAGTGTTGTGTCTTGGATCAACCTCCCAAGTGCTTATAACAAAGTCATGATTTTATTAAAATTATATTTCAGTGAGTAACAATTTCTAGCCTGGCAAAGGAAATATTGCCACTGAACAGAAGTTTTATTTTACAGTACTTGAATTATATAATCTAATTTAATCATAACTAGCAAATCTAACCAATTAATCAGTGAAACACTATAACCCTTCTTTAAACTGAAGAACATTAAACAGAATGTTAATTTAAAACATATTTAATTGAAATTAAATATGATTTACAACAAACATTTCCTTTTACAAGCATTGCAATTTTCCTTTGTTGTCCTATCAACCTGACATGTCATAGAACTCTCTACAGGTGACACACTAACATTATATGGATATTGCCAAAAATGCCTGGGACTATCCCATCTTCAACAACAGCGGGCTGAGCACAGTGTGGTTGTTTATGTTGAAAGAGTAGCATTCCGTGGTCTTGTAAGTTCCTGTTAACTGGCCTGAACCCAGAAGTGCCCGCATGTGAAACTCTGCCCCCTTCCATTCTTTTGGCGGCTCTGACTGCGTTTCCTAGCAATACTTCCTATAGCTGATATGTGCAAAGGATCTAACTATATAATGTGCTCTTCGCACATGCCTTCCTTTCCTTACTGTGGTATTATGGAAAACAGCTGATCCACCAACCAGTGAGGTAACATACAACAGGGCATCCGCCATTTTGTATTTCAGACAAACAAAAAATTCTTTAGGCAGTATTCAGACAATAGGGCTGAACGCAAGAATGCACAGGCTACAAACTTGTATGTCAAAGGAATGGAAAAGGAAGAAATTATTCCACAAGTATAGTATCAATGCTCTCTTGAGAGAGGTCAGGATCCAGTGCATTTTGTGACTCCACATGAGTTTGCGAGAGGGTGCCACTTTTCATCATACTTGGGATCCAGTTGTCACCATATGGCTGAAACTTGATGGCTGTCGTGCTGCCAACCCTCTGGCATCGGCCAAATTTGAAGTGTTTACCTTTGTGTGTATACATGTGTTCAAGAAGCTGGTTTTTTCGGAGGAATTTATGACCACAGACGGTGCAGCTGATCTTTCTTTTCCGTGAAAAGGAAAAGTTGCAGTTTAGTTCCACAGGTTCTGTGTCCTTGGATACCAGTGACAGCTGGCCAATTGGCAGAGCCTCTAGGTTGGGGTGGGTGGGATATTCTGAGTAGTGCTCATTCTCTTTCTGAAGGAAGGAACTGAGCCTGTGACTTTCAGTAGCTTCACTGTTTTCACTGAGAGGCTGGAGCTGGCTAAGGTTATTGCTCTCCAGGATGGAGGTTGGAACCCTGAAGGGCAATGATCCTGACACATGAGTAAACAGGTGTTCACACAAATTGCTCCGGGATTCAAAATGCTCCCCACAATACTGGCATAAATGAACTTTGAGGTTTTCTTTGGAAAAGGCTGGACCCCTGAGATTTGGGGAAGATGATGTGTGACTCTGAGAGACAACTGGCTCTGGGTCAGTCTTCTCCTGTTTTATAGTCACAGGTGGATTTGCAGATTCCTCTGCTGGTTTCACAGCTGTCTTGGCAGAAGGATGGGAAACCTGCTGGTCCAAAGACCCGTCATCCAGCCCAATTGCCAGAGAGAGTTGGAGCTGAGGATGATCTCCCTGATTAGCGGCTCTGCTACCAATACTGGTTAAATTTTCCTTTGCTTGGAGGTTCCCCTTCACAGCCTTATGCGTGGTTGAGATCTGAATCCCATAAAGGTTTGAAGACTGCACAACCTCTGGAGAAAGCATCTGGTTCATTTCAATTGCCATGCGAGAAAGGTAGTCAGCATGCAGGAAACGGATGCCTTCTTCTAGCCGCGTATGATTGACCATCTGTTTAGGTCCTTTGCCAGTGTACATTATATGCAGCAAGTAGCTGAATATGTCAGGTTGGATATCAGTGGGCTGAATCTTTATGCATTCACTGCTTGAAACAAAAGTGAGAGTTAAGTAAGAACATCATGGTGCAACCTCTGTTTATCGAAGGACAAAGGCAAACAGTATGTCTCAAGATGCCTTAAGAACCAATATGTTAATTAAGACATATGCTTTCAGGGACTAGAGGCCCTTCTATAAATGTGTGAAGTGAATTCCAGTCATATAGAAATATAGGTGCATAAAGTTAAAAAAAAAAATTAGAAAAAGTATCAGTGGTGAAAACACATTAAAATGTCTCTATATACCTAAGAGCAAAATCTGGTGGATACACTAGGCTTACCTACGCATAAACAGTTGATATGCTTTCCTCCTGGCCTGAGATCACAAGAACAGTGTCATCTGCAGACTGTGGCCACCATCTTGACTTCCCCCTGGTGACACCCTTGAGGAAAGTGTGTTGTTCTGAAAACTGCTCCCCCCCCTTGCATTCCTCTTAACAGATCTCAGGAATGAAGCTGATAGAGGTGCTGCCCCCAAGCAAGGGTGGTGGCTTGCTGCTGCTCCTGGGGGTGGCAGTGGTGCGAGAAGAGAGTGCTCAGGAACTTTTTCTTCTTGTCTTAAAAGCCAGATACCCCAACTCATAACATTTAGTACCCAGAAAGGGGGACTCCATCCTAGTGCACTGATGGAGAGGAAGAAGTTTACTTTTCTTAAGAGTTACAACTCCCTGCCCAACTTCTTCCACTGTCTTCTTGTCCCTTTTGCTGAGTTGCCTCCTGGATTAGACAAAATATAACATCCCTATTTTTAGCTAAAGGAAGAGGAAAAAGGAGCTCACAACAGTCTCTCCAACAGGAACACTGATTGTGTGGAAGATTTTCCATGAAGTTGACATTTTCCTGACAATAAACAAATGGTGGCCAAACATGATTCTGTTGTCCCTGCAGCCAAACCAGAAATGGCCACAGATGCACACAGCCCTAGGACTGGATGGGAGCAGGGCGACTGCAGTGGGACCCTCCAACAACTCCTCTGCCATGAAACACAGAATGTTCTCATAGTAGGTCTGTTTTCTGATGGATAAACGTATCCTTTAAATCAGTTTGGTTTAAATGTTTGGACTTCAACTTCCAGAATTCCCCCAGCCACACATCTTAAAGTTGCCAAGTCTGAAAAACACTCCTTTAAACCTATACAATAATTAAAATGATGATCTTGTCCATCACTAAAATGCTCCCTTTTATCTGAGCTCCTGATTTACGATATTTATTTTGCAGACCATTTGGAGGATAATGTGATACATTATTTGAAGTCATGCCCACGAATTTCAAGCTTTGCAAATTTCCATGACATACAAGGCCAGCAAATAAAATGCTGAAGACCAAGTGAAAACTAATTTCTGAAGCTTCCACCAAGAAGTCAACATGGGTCTTAAAATGTTCTTCAAAAGAGGGTACTGACTTACCTTGTCTGATGAATGAATATCATCTTAAAATAGTTGGAAAAAGCAGCCAGCACAGCTCGATGAGCTTTGAAGTAGACGTCTCCAATTGCAACAGTGCAGTCACAGAGAAAGCCAAATTCTCGCTGCATGTTTAGTTGTTGCAGGAGAATCAGGCTGTGGCTTGCTGTATCCATTGTGGTTCTAGGGGACAAAAGAAGGTCTCTTAAGGAACATGCTCACTTCAGTGCAGTCAACTGCAGGAGGACCTGCAATCTAATGCAAAAACATATTGCCTAAGGTATACCTTGCAAGAAAAAAACAATCTAAAGAGATGCTGCCAGTTAATGCAGACAGCTGTCCCCATTCTAAACAGGAAAATGTGTTTTCAAATATATATTTTGGGGGACGCAATGTCTTCTTGTCCTGTTGTATCTCTATAATGGTATGTGGGAATGACCTTGGGAGACAGGGGAAGAACTGCTGTAATTACTTGCAAGATTGATGTCAGCCTTGTGAAGTAGTCCAGATAGGAAGCATGCCCAGATGAACTAATTCTACTTTATTGTTAAGGTTACATTAACAGAATACTGCAAGTTTGAAAGTACATTTCTCCCCTCACCACCAGCGCCAAGAAATTAGGGAGGGCCCCTTCTGAGATGTTTGCCACACCCACATTCCTGATGAGGGCTAAGCTGCCTCTTATCTGACTGTTCCCCTGGCTGAGGCTCTTCCCGTCTCCCACGGACATTCCCACATACCATTACAATCTCTCAGGAACCTTTATCAAATTAGCATTTCAGTCCATCTAGCTTGGGCCAGGCAATCTTTCAGAGGCCAAGGATATCACCTTTTTTTTAGAGTTAAATTCAGTGAGGCAATGAAGTAAACTGGGTGAGGCTGGTTTTGTACTTCTTTCTGAATGGGAACGTTTTTTTAAAGTTTAAAAAATGGGTGGTAAAGCATTGCAGAACTTAGTTTTCTTGTTTCCTGCCTATTGCTATTAAGCAATAATAATTGGAGGAGGCTCTGAGGACCACAATGAAGGAGCTCAGGGGACCAGAAGAAGCCCTGGGGCCACAAATTGCCTACCTGTGGCCTAGCTGGTGATGATGGGATTTCAAGGAAAGAGATGGGCTGGGAGACATCTTTTTCTGTATAATTGTGTCCACTCAGATGGAAGTGTTCAAAGTGCTTATCCTGGATAACTGGGCAACAGATTACAGTCTAACAAACAATTCAAACTAATGTTTGCTGAGCTGTCCTTGAGAGGACAAAAACAAGGATGTGGGTGTTCCCTTCTGGCTGAGTACATTTTTAATTTTTCTCTCCTATCCTACTCCAAAGTCAGGAGCTAGAAAGGAATGGGATCTTTGTAATTTATAGCCTTTTCTGGAACTTTCCCTACCACCATACCTTTATTTCCCTTCTCCCATTAGGAAAACTTGTCTTGGAGACTGGAAGTGTTTTTCCACTACTACATTTCCTCCTCTAACAGTGAAGCTCTTTTTCTGATCTTGAAAGAGGAAATGTATATATTAATTTGCTGGATTTCTATACTGTTTCATTCCTAAAGCTCTGACTGGTATAAAATCATCAAAAAATTAAACCTGTATATGAAGATGGCAACCAGCACCTTGAATTGCATCCAAGAAACTAACTAGCAGCCAGTGCTGCTCCTGGAATAGAATTGTTATGTGGGCAAATTTAGATATGTCAGTAAGTACGCAGGCACATGCTGTACCAGTCTAAGCTTCTGAATGGCCTTCAAGGACAGCCCCATGTACAGTGACTTGCAATAGTCCATGAAGTGACAAAGACGAGTGACCATGTGCACTGACTACTAACCAATGGAAAGAAAAACTGGCACAAGCTGTACTTGTGCAAAAGCTCTAACGTTTCAAGCAGGAGCTGACTGCAAATCAGCTTCAGAGCTACAGATGGAACACCTCTAGATTTGGAAGGTCTACAGGTCCATAGCCACTCTATCCTGTTGGGTTTAGCCTGTTCTTTTAAGTGCCTAGGGGCACCAGGTCAAGACTTCCACCACATCACCAGCATAGCTTAATTTGTTGAAAGGTGGTTTCACACAGTGATTAACTAGGCCTGGAGAGATCCAAATTCAGCCCTATCCACAGCCATGGAAACTCATGGGGTGACTCTAGGCCAGGCATTTTTCTCACAGCCCAACATAACTTCACAAGGCTGTTATGGGAAAAAATGGGAAAGAGTTGTCCATACATAGCTTGAAGCTCCTGGAGGAAAGATGAGACATAAATCTATCAAGTAAATATGCAGGGACCTTAAAACCAGAGCTCAGAACTATAATGATTAGGAATGTCTACAAACTCAATCTATCCCAGGACATTGTTTTAAATGTATTGTTGTGTTGGTTGTTTTAATGCTAATATTTGTTTAAGTTCTAAGATAATTTGGTTGGATTGCCTTGTAATTATTATGGGGCTTTTTATTTGGTTTGTACTACACCTTGGTAAAGGCCTGTAATCAATTATTATTTGTTATTAAATTCCTAGCACATTCCGTGGAGTAAATCCCAGCAAATACAATGGTACTTCTGAACAGGCATAAACAGGATGGCATTTTAAACAATTCCGCCTGGAGTGTAAGAAACAGCCTGGAGGGCACTGGGGAAAATAAAATCCACTTCCCTTGTTACCACTTTAATCTTTGGGGAGCCTGAGCCTGAAACATGAGGTCCACTTCATTAAGGTCAGCATTTAGATTTCACCTTTCAGCAGCTATGTTGGCACGATACATTTACTTATGACTAGCTCAACCATGATTAAGTCATACAATTTTCTGGAGTTGTGCAACATGAATTATCCAAATGGGCTGGCTTTGTACAATACTTTTACATCCTCTGAATCTAGCCAAGTATCTTTGGCAGCATAAATGTGACTTGCTTCTAAGTAACAGTGAAAAAAAAACCTTCACAAAGCTAAATATGAATTATGAACTAAAAGAGAAGCAACCACAATACAGTACAGCAATAAAGCAATTCTTTATAAAATTCTGGGAGATAAAGATGCTTAAAAGATCAAAAATCCTCTGTCCCATGTGTAATGCATAAACAACACAGTAATTCCAAATACTTTCATTGTTGCACAATAAACAGAGAAAACAGCACCACAGATTCCCACTGAAAAATTCTTTACAGGTCTTTCCAAATCGAGTTCCATTGGGTTTAACAGAACCATTCTCTCTCCTTCTCCCTAATGTAATTATATGCATTCTAGAGTTTCAATACTGAAGCTTTTTTAAAACAATGCCCAAATATTAACATAAACTTACAGTCAGAATGTAAGCGCAATCTTCGAATTAATGTGATAAAACCGCCGATTAGAGAGCAGTTCCCCCCTTCCTACTATCCTAGGCTAGCGGCTTTATCCCATCCGGTCCTACTTCAACATGGCGCCCTCCACCTTCCCTGGCAAGGAATGATGGGAATGGCAGAGGCGCTCATCTGGAGGGCGCCAAGTTGGCTAAGACTAAGATGGTAAAATTAGACAGGTTTCCGGAGGGGGGGAGGGCTGCACTACTCGTAATCAGGTTCACGCCGCAGCTGAACGCCCTGAAAAAGCGGCTCGACTCGAACTCC